TCTATCTAACGTTTGCGTTATCATCGATTTAAGAAAGATTTTGACTTAGTAGGATTAGGTAATGTTAGTATTATTAGAGATTTCTGCAGGTGAAATTCAGTTAATTAATACGGTTTGACTTCTCAAAATATGCGGTGTATCTTTTGATTTAGGCATTAAGGTAAAGTCAGTGAATTTCACTATCACAAGAAGGTTTTATATTGATTTAAATTGGGCAAAAGGTAGGATGGGAGGAAGGGAGAGCGGGAGGGGGGGAGGGAGGTTGCGAACGCAAATATTTCTTCTACCCCCTTCTCCCATTTGTGGGTCACCAGATATGTTCTTGAAAATAAAGATTGCGAGGATAGCCATTCTAGTGTCAAATGTTAGATCTGTCTGTCAATTACGATAAATTTACAATATGTAAGAGAACTGGGATTTAGTTACCTGCAGATTTTGTAAATTGTCGTTAAAACTACTGCGGTTTGTACTCCAACCAAATGAATTGTGAAAAATGATGTGACTCTCGATACATATATCTCAAGCTGTTCATGTCATAACCTTCTGCTTGGTATTGAACGATTGAACAAAATAGAGAGTATTTCCATTATTCTATTTGAAAATGAAAGCTTGCAGAGTTTCCTTACAGAGTTCGTTTGAGAGGGCTTTAGATAGTAGGTGAGATAGATAAGAATGGTACACTATTCATGTGTTAGTGAAATGCTTGAAATCGTAAGTTTTTGGCTCTTAGAATACAAGAAAGTGCTAGATACGCAATTTTGAAAAAAAAAATTCTGTAATCCATTCATTCACTCCATTTTTCTTCCTTTGCCCGTTCAATATTGCCCCCTCTCTACATTTTTTTCCAAGCCTATTCCAGTGCTTTTGTTAGTCAATAAAATGTGATACAATCCACTTGTTTTGAGAGAACACTTGGTAGAATATTGGGACATAGCATTTCTATCATCATGTAGCGGGGTAGAGCGCTCGCGTTTTATTGACAAAGCATTGCTTTTCATCGTATGCTCTTTGCTGTTGGCATAGATGTTCGCTGGGACGATAGTAGTATTCAGCAGTTGACTCTAATCCTCCTTGTCACCTTTTGATTTTTTTTTCTTAGGAAATACACCTATATGATTTATGTTCATCGATTTTGCTGCTTTTATGAAGCCAATCTGATTTGTGGTCAATTTTAGAGGTGTAGTGTTGTGGC